GTCCCCACATCCAACCTCAAGGACCAAACAGTATTGCCACGGCCACCGCCTCGGGGTTCTGCGCGCACCCCGGGGCCGTGCCGCTCCCCCACGTGCAGGGGCAGCAGCAGGCCTCACCCCTGCCCGGCCAGCTCCCCATCCATAGAGCACAGGTGCCACCCACCTTCCAGAACAACTACCATGGGTCAGGGTGGCACTGACGAACCAGCTTCCCCAGCCTAAACATTTTTACAATGTTGTGTAAGATAAACTGTGTATATTTCCTCTGTACCTGCGGCAGGGGCTTTTTAAAGCTTGTACATGAGACTTTGTATAAAAGCGAACACCAGTGTTCCTCCTGCGTTGTATTCTTTCCATTTTTTGCTTTCTACAATTCCGGAAGACGTGCTGTTATAAGCCAGTATTAGGTATTTCTTTTGATTTTGTAAGTGGACATTCCAGCTGTTTTTTCGGGCAGTAGGTTTGATGCTGCATAATCTTTAAAAGTTTTATTGTTGCAGTTAAATTCATTTAGTGAATGTTTTCTATATTACTTTTATACATATGTAATTAAATAAGTACACAGGCTCAGTGATGGCACTAACAACGTTTTTTTTTCCCCCCCATTTTCTTCTGTCAGCAGTTCTGTGTGCATAGCGCTAGGAAACAAGGCAATACAGATTTTTCTAGTTTTGGTGTGGACATGGCTTTTTGTTTCATCAGTTATTTGCAGAAATTGTAATTTAATGTATAGACTGTTTCTAATGTCCCTGACGAGTGCTGTAAATACTGTATTTCTTTGGCTTGTAAAATGGCTTAAAGCTGCTTTCATTTGATATAGTATTGTATATAATAAGTCTCTTTTTTGCAAAAAAAAAAAAAAAAAAGTGTGATCTTTGTGGAAGTAGTACAGTATATGATCTTTAATTTTTTTTAATATACTGTCACATTGCAGCACTGGTTGGGCATTTTAATTCATGTTAATAAATCACAATTATGTCAGTTTTAACTACTTGTCCTGCAAGGGTGCTGTGTCTGCAGGGAAGGGCCACCCCTGCTCCCCACCAGGCTCTTCTCCTGCCCTGGTTCCAGTTGTGGGTTTAACCCTGTGCCAGACAGATGTGGAACCAGCCACAGGACAGGGGTTTCCTGAGCTGAGGAAACGTCACTCTAAGCAGAGTCTTGTCTTGGTTACCAACAGCCTTATCTGGGGGTCGTGGTGCATCACACAGAGTACTGCTGCACCAGCACGCCTGTGCACTGAAGCTGTATCTGATGTGTTACTCTGACCTTGGCCACAGGCCCCAGCCCCACCTGTGCGCTGCAGCACAGCCCTGGAATCTGCCTGTAGTGGATCCTCAGCCCCTGCTGCTTGTGCGGCAGCCAAGTGAGCAGTGCTTGGGGTAGGGCATGTTTACTGGTACTGCATAGCAGCAGCTCAGGTGCTGCTCTTCACTACTGATGCAGTTACTGTGTAATCGGGATGTGACAGTATCCTTGTGTGGGCAGTGGCTGCGGGAAGACCCGTCCCCCTAACCCCACCCGCACTCGAAACCGGAGAATGGCAGCACTGTGCAGCAAAACCCAAAATGGGGCAGGATGGGGCTGTGCCTGCTCTCACTGCAGTAAGGGGACAGACACATCATTTCAACAGCTAGAAAAAACCTGGGCTGCTTTAAATTCTAATTGGCCTCAACATTGCTCAGTAGTGAGTAGGAACAGTACACTGCAAACACTGCCCTGAGCATCTGCCAGCCACGCAAACACACCCTGGATGGATAGAGCACACTTGGGTTTGCACTAACATGAAGGAGAGTAAGATTAGGCCAGCAGCAGCACCCTGCCCACCCGCTCCACTGCTCACCCGACTTGACAGAATCTGCATCACAGCTCAACAGTCAAACCTGGTTGTCCTGCTCCCCTTCCTCCCTCCATGACCCTGGTCATTGCTTTATCTGAAAGGCAGAGGTAAGGTACACACTGTACACAGCGAGGTCTTGGCGCAAGAGGGAGTGTTCTGGGCACAACAGCACTGGTGCTACCCCAGGCCCCCTGAGCTCTGCTGCATCACCCTGGCCCTGAGAGGGGGCAGCACTGTACAGTCAGTACTCACCTCCCTGGGCTTGCACTGGAGCTGCTGCAGCACCATTCAAGCTTCTGCATGTTCAAGAACCAGCTTCTCATTAGTTGCAGCAACCAGGCGCTCGCTACCAGTGGCTGGGCCAGGTGTGAAGCTCAACAGCATTTTTACCTCTAGCTCTGGAATCCATTGTGGCATCCACCATCCTCACCAGTGTCACTCATCCTTGTGGCCGTTCCTGTGGAGGGTGAACCCCAGCTGCGGGCAGGGCCTCAGCACACGGACGGGTTTCTCCTCACCAGTGCGTGTGCAGTTTCTTCCTGGAGGGGTGGCGGCCCCAGCCTACCAGGGACGGGTGATCCTTCGCTTGTTTATCGTGCTTAAACACCTTGTATAAAGTTCTCACTTTGGTCACGCTTCACCTGGCAACTGCTCACACAGCCCCCCCACCCCGTGCTGTTATCACCCTTTGGGTGCTCTGATGTGCACTGGGTGACATATAAGTAAGTTACCACAAAAAGCTGCTTTTCGCTTTGTCCAGGGTTACCCAGCCCCTGCCCACCCCCCGTCACGGACCTCGGGCAAAGGCACGGTCGGAGTCATGGCAAAGGGCAAAGAGTCCAATGACCAGCACACGGGCTGAAAAAACAAAACACTTTAATTAGACAACTGCAAGCACCTCAAACAATGGGTTATTGTTACAGCATGGGGCGATCTTCTCACAATCTAGTTATTGCAAAGGCATGTGAATAAGTTTCATATGGACAAAGTCAAGAAAAAAGTGGCACCGTAGTTACATGAAGGTCAGGAGTCACCTTACATTCATCCCACCGACTTCTAGAGAGAGGCCAAACCACACCTCCTCCTCCCTGTACATTCCAAAACCTGTATTGCCTGTGAGCTTCAGCCTATGCAGCCTTTTCGTGTCCTAGGAAACACGTAATTGTTGCGTGCAACTTACAATGGGTCCTCGTTGTACGTCTGCTCATGGCAGAGAACAAAGCTAGTGCAATTTGGTTTAGAAACATGTAAAGCTGTGAATGGAATGAGCATGAGCTCGCTTCTTGGACTACGTTGCCCACTGCACCGTAAATATTGGCAGCTCTATCCTTCCTTACCTGATGCCAAGCACACACTTTTATTATAAAAGATCAGTAATTCTACACAGAGAGTGGTTCTCATGCTCTACTTTTAATTACTGGTTGTTTTTTTTTCTTAAGGTATAGTACAACTTACAGTGCTTATAAAAAGGCAACACCATATGGTACCATGTCTTCACTATCACACTGGAAGGGAAATCGCTAGTTTCCTTTTCTTAAAAGCACTTAAAATAGGCAAAAGTTCTAAAAGGGAGTGCTAAATGACAATGCATACTGTATTAGAAAGAAGTCCAGCCTTCCTTTAAAGTGCCGTTTGGGGAATGAAATCCTGTAAACCAGAGCCACTTTGTTGGAAATCCAATGAATGGGAACTGCTACAGAATAGAAAGTTTGCACAATTCCTTAAAGCAGTTTGAAGTCCACTACATGCAATTGGTTTGCTAGAAAGCTCTCTAAAACTTAAGTCGCTTTACTCTGAAATTGAGTCCCCAGTCCCATATTTAAATGGAAATAAACATTTACAGGGTGCATTTACATACACTATAATACAAGGATGACGTCCCTTTGCCAGCAGATAAAATTGTACAATTCATCGCCGTAACTCGGTTCTGACTTGATAAATTTCTTACACTTGTAAATTATATAATATGCATCAGCTAAAATATTTTTTTTCTTTTTTTTTTTTCATAAATAGTTAAAAAACTTGCCAAAACACATGGGGGGGAAGTTTCCTTTGTTCCAAAATCTGACATCTGAATGCCACACAACACAAGAAACAATGCTTAAAGACACGGTAAGTGTTTTCTGAAGAAAGTGGGTGAGTAAACTACTAGCTGAAGACAGAAAGACCACCCTTCCCCAAGAACACAGTGCACAAAAGCAAAATGTCAAACAGTACCTCAAGCAAAATAAAGGTCTGAGGATTGAAGCCAGCTCACGTGTGATCCTGCTAAAGAACTGGTGACAGTCACCGCTTAGGTCCAATGCATTGGGAAGTGGTTGCTGGCTTTTATTTTACAGCTGGGAGAGACTGCTAAGAATTCAGCCACGGATGCCGAAGGCATTCTCCAGCTGAAGCACGCTTCTCTGGGACCATTTCTAGCATGGGGATCAGGAAATCTGTAAACTGTGCAGCATCTTCATGAGGCCAACCGTACTTCTCCACAAGCACATCAAAGAGACTCCAAGGTTTCAGCTTGGTAATGTGTCGGAGCTCTCCTGCAAACAGAAACAGAACGGTGTTAGACAAAGCCCTTCTTATCCCTGCGAGCGACTAATCCCTGTGTCATTTGTCTCCCACTCTGCATTCACAGCGCCTTGGCCAGGCTGAGAACCGTAGTTTAGGAAGGGTGGTATGCTGCCAGCTTGTTGAGGTCCTCAAAGGAGTAGAGCACGTCCAACATCAAAACCAAGAATCAGCCTACAGCAAACGCTGTGACACCAGTGCACATCACTTCTGGGGTTTCTGCTGTCTCTCCCGTGCACAAATACACTCATTCACTCACTCCTGTGCGCTCACACCGTGGGCACAGAACACCAAAGGCTTTTCCTTCTTAACCAGCCAACAAACCCCAACGTTACATGAAGTGCCCCCATCCCAACTAGGAGGTCTCCGCACCACAAGCCGCTGCCTCGCTGCGTGGCACTGGCTGACAAGGCACCAGAGCAGCGCTTCACTCCCAGCCAAGAGCCTGGCGCTTGGACACTCTGCTCCATCTCCCAGACAAACCCCGCAGGAGGCTGGTCGGAACCCTTCCCTGCTGGAGGAGGAAGCACCTGCTGCTCCCTATGGCTCCTCCGACCGACCGCCAACACAGGCACGAGTTCCATCAAGGAGGGGGCACTCGGCCAACCTGGCAGCGTGATGGAGACCAGAACAATGAGGGAGGCGAGAGCCCTTCTGCCATTCAAACCAGCAGCATTATCCAGGTCTATCCAAAGGACATCTGGCACAACAGGGAAAGACTCTTCTGGCTGCTCCTTGCACTTCCACTGCCACCCCCGTTCTTCCCAAACACGTATCTGAGCCAGACAGTCTCCACATGACGCTGTAAAAACCACTTCAGAGACCCCTGTGGTGATTCTGCGATGGCCCCTGAGCTGCCAAGGAGGGTGATGGGTTCTCACCCCATTCTGGAAGCTGAACATGACTCGTCCGTAGCTTCACAAGCCCACTACACCAGCAGGTATGGGGCACACTGGCCATACTATTCTAAGTGAAGTGGTTTGGCAACTTGGTGGTTGTCCCTGGCTCCGATCTACTGACCATAAAATGCCACCAGACGTCAGCTCTCAGGTCTGCTTCTGTACATCCCTGCGGCTACAGAAGATTGTACAGAAGTTGAGGGCAGGAGAAATCCACGTCCTCAGACTGTCCCGAGCATCTGAGCATCCGAGTGCAACAGACAGAAACTGCCCCAGGCCCAGGAGGACACAGATCTGCTGCCCGAGGCCACAGCAGAAGGTTCTAGGCCAGGTGCAACAGCAGCTCTCCAGATGCCATCATACAGACCCCAAACCAGCAAGTGTGCAACGGGCCATCGCTTGCAAGAGGAAGACAAGAGACCTGCTGGCACTAGAGAGTTCCGAGGTGCTGCCCACAGCTGGGCCCATCCTCTTTCCATCGTGCGGGCAGGAGGGGTGCTGAGACAGGAGCAGTGAAAGCAGCGGGTGTATCCTGCCGGGTTATGTCTGCACCAGCATGTCCCACCAGTACCCACCAGTCAAACCAAACCAGGCTCTGGTTTGGGCCCACAGTGTCCCATGGCATGAATGAAGGGAAAGGACAGCACATCCTGGATAAGTGTGTTTGTTTCCAGGCTCTCTCTCAGCCCTTCACAAACCTTTGTGCAACTCTGAAATTCAACTGCTGAAAACCTTACGCATTTGAAGGCTTCCAGAAGTGTGCGCTGGTGACTACTAACAAGAACAGGTAGTAAACAGCTCATAAGCATGCATAAACTCAAGTATTACCAGAAAGTGATAGATAACAGTGACTCGGTTGCCAGCTGGGGTTAAATCACAACACTTGTTATTGACTGCAAGCAAAAAATGGCTAAAAGTAAGTACATGCAGCTGTGTCCAGAGCTTCCCCAGCTGGCAGCATTCATTGCAAGGGCTGTCATAATCATTTACAAACTAGACTGGCTTTGCGGGAGTGCCTGTGTTTCCATGCAGCACTGCCTTCACTTTTGTACTCAAAATACATAGTTCTAGGCACCTTCCTCCCCTCACGTTGTATAAAGTAAGACTGCAAGATGAAGCTCCTGGTGTCGCTGTTAAAGCAAGTTCATGCTTTTTGAATACTCCTTATTTTGTGGAGGCTGAAGTACCCAAGCTAAACCCAAGCTAATGCGAGCACACGCTGGGCAGTACAATGTTCTGTTGTATTTTTCTGCCGAGGAACAAACTACTTCAGCAGCACGGACTGGGATTTTCCACAAGATATTCCATGAGGACTGTACAAGTGTTTATGAAGGACGCAGCAAAAATTACCTTTGGGGGGGTCCATTTCCAGCCTAAAGTGCTGCAGAGCAGCGCAGGAAATGGAGGTGTGCGGCAATACGTGTTTTCATCTGGTTCATGAGGTTTCATAGAATCACGGAATGGTTTGGGTTGGAAGGACCTTGAAGCTCATCCCGTTCCAAGCCCTCTGCCATAGGCAGGGACACCTTCCACTAGAGCAGGCTGCTCAAAGCCCTGAGGACAGAAAGTCAGTGCTGATATTTAAGGGAGGAATGAAAAGCACCGGTCTGACACCATCAGCAATCAGGGCGTTAACATGAATCATCAAAGAAACGCTAGAAAGACTTCCCAACAAAAGCTCTTCATTTATTTTTGATATTGAAGCACACAGGAAATATCCAGAGAGGACAATGGAGCTGTCAGAACTGTAAAACCCCTGTGGCCAGAGTGGAGGCAGCAAAGGACCTCCTGGAAAATGGAATGTTGCCAGAAGGAAATTGCTGAAGAAGTTTCTGAAGGACCTGTGGGGGTGAAGGTGCTATTTAAAGCTCCCTGTGCTGACCAGAATACAAAAAAAACAGAACTAGTCTATGAAATTTGTCAAAGACAAATTTAAGATGTGTCACCAGGGAAGAGGAGGATGGGTTATTAACAGTAAGAAAGGGATGACTCAAAGAATTGGGAAGCAGCAGTGGGAGATAATCTGCTACTATGTATTTTGAGGACATGCTCCCGAGAACTAATGCAAGAACTGCTGGTGAGGCCCCATGGTACAATGGATGGAAGTGAGGGAGGTGGAGCAGAGCCCTCCCCTTCCCTTCCAGCAGCGCTTTTCCTTGTCACAACTTCCAACAGGCAAAGCCAGCGCCCAGCCCGCGGCTCGCACAGGTTAGGGAACAGGGCTGGCAAACACCAGATGAAAAGTAAGAGACCACGGTCTAGAAAAACAAAAAGGGGTTTAACTTTTAGTGCCAAAGCAGATTAATCATTTCTACAGACAGAACAGCCTCCATGAAGGCGCTGGAGAAAAGCACTCTCTGGAGTTATTACTGGACTCTATCAAGATGAGACCCTGGAAAACGCATGTGAGCATCTGTGTTACAGTGACTAGGAAGTATAAATGCTTTTCCTGTGTTAAATGCACCCTCCTATTGTGCTCAGGCAGTTACCGGGAAGGGACTGGACCCTGGAACCTGGTTAGTTGGTAACACCTCTCCTTCTGTGCCTGTGGCTTCAGTGGAACGATTCCAATGTTTGAAGCTTCTGAGGTTGTCTATGGACGGGATCAGCACCCAAACTGTGATTTCCAGGCTTTCACCCAAGGCTGATGTTTTCAGAACAGGAGCCTACAGTTACATTCCTACTCCACCTTTACACCCCAGCGTGAAGTTTCCGGAAAAGCCTCAGGCCTGTGCTCCACACACGGCTTCTGGCCTCAAGTGCTCAGGCCACAGGCAGATGAGTACAAAACGCTATGAAGCCTATTCCTCCCTGCCAGCCACCAAACACACATCCTGGGGCACCATTTGCTGGCAGTACTGGGGTGGCCAGGAACAAGGAAAATGGCATCTTATCTCAATGAAAAACATCTCAAGTGAGCAGGAAACTCACCATCTCCATTTTCCCTCCACAAAGCATTGCAGCCTTCCTGACTTGGAATGGTGGAGTAACCGGTACGATCTAGAAACACAGCTTGGGCTGTTACCCCTTTGTCCTGCATTCGAGATCCAGCCTGTTCTTCCACAGCAAACCTGCACTTAAATTTTGTGTGGTGGGTGAACCAGGCCTTTTGAAGTGCTCACATCCCACCCAGAGCCACAGCAGATGGTGCCTCTGAGGAACGTCACTACAGAGGAGGGCCCAGAGGACAACCGTGGCACTTTGCAGCGGACGATGTTCATGGAAGCACGTGAAACTCCCCATGGGAACTTTATGACTTCCCTTTCCTGTGTGCCACAAACGCTGTGGTCATTGTGTGACTGCTGGGTCATTTTCAAGCTCTGTGACATCGTTACAAAACACCACCTGGCATGAAGCGAACATGAGGAACACAAGATGTATAAGCTTTTAGGGGGGTCAGGCTGGGGGGGTCTTTCTGACTCAGTACCTGCCTCTGACAGTGGCAGAAGAAGGGCAGGGAGGGTGGGCACCCAGGAGCAAACCAGGAGCCTTTGGCAGGCCCTGAAGGTGCTGGAGGGTGTCTCCTGCCCGGCGCCTTCTACTGCTTTATACATTTATGGACCTGTCAGCCCCGGTTGTTCATGTCACAGAATCCCTGGATGGTCTGGGTTGGAAGGGATTTTAAAGCTCATCTAGTTCCAACCCCCTGCCAATGGGCAGGGACAGTTGCTCCTGCAACTACAGCAGGTTGCTCCAAGCCCCTGTGTCCAACCTGGCCTTGAACACTGCCAGGGATGGGGCAGCCACCGCTTCTCTGG